TTTTTAATATAAGAAATTTCGCGAAGCGACGAAGCGTTTACTCAAGATGGTCCTTTATCGATTCAAGGATATTAAAATTTATAAATGCAACTCGTTGCATCAATTGGAATGATGTATTTTTCTCAGAATTATCTTCCTGGAGTTTTTTCCCGGTAATATATTTTCTTGAAGCGTCTGCATGCTGAAAATGTAAGCCGATAATTTATCTAGTGGGATTAAAATTTGCGGAACAGATTTCCTAAATCGTTTCACTCGGACAATGTTTTAAAACAACTGGTAAGAAAAAAATGACAATTTATTGTCCTTGAGTTGACAATATGCGACTCGACAGTTATTACCGGATTCTATTCCGGTCCAAAACATTTCTTTTGTAGTGGCTAGTAAACATTGCCTTGCTGATAAATGATTTCAGTTTTTCCGAGAAATATTATCTTTATTTCATATAATAGAGCACTTAACTTTTTCATTTTCTCGAACATCTCACCAAAGTCTAGATTTATATTTTCATAAGTTTGCGACCAGTCACAAATTCCATAGCTTTCGTAACAAATTAATCTAATTTAAGTTTTTTTTTTTCTAAATATTTGCGCTACCATCAAAAACATAAATCATGACATAATTAGTGAAATCTCAAAAAATTCGATAACATAGCAATTTGGACTGAACGAAAATGTCACAAACAGACTAATTGGCTTCGAAATAAATCACCTTTTAGAACAAGTTTTTTGATGCTCTGACAAAACCAGAGTTCGAATTAAAAAACTTTCTTTAAAATTATTGCATTAACATGTGGAATTATTCAAATTTAAAATTTTTTTCCATTATGATTCAACACAGTTTGTTACTTATAAAGATGTAAAAATGTTATGGACGTACTTAGTTTTTTATGTTTAAAGCTAATTAACTCGCAGCGTAAAAAACTCGATTTTTGCAAATGTTCAAAATAATTAATTTTGAAGCTGAGAAGTAATTTAGCAATAATGATAACAATAAAACCGGACTAGTTTTGAGGATAAAATTCAATTCTTTGGCGAAATGGCTTTTACAGTTTCTTAATTAAGGCATTTTGCTTTGATTGGTCTGGTAATGCTGCCCATGTGGGCGAGGATAAAACTCAGTCTGAAATTAATATTAAACTTTTGCCAGAATTATAGTAACATAAACCGTATAAATACAGCAGTATTTGGAGCTTAACACGTCGAAATTTACAACTTGCGAAACACCGCAATGAAGTCGTATTATTCTTACCGCAATAAGTTAGAATAAACTAGTATTTTAATTAAAACTAAGCCGGCGTTTATGGAAAAAAGTAATTATAACAGTTGTTGAAGATAAGTAAGATTGTTGTTATTCTTTGGGTGAAAAATGCGGTTTGTGTAATAGTCTTAGAGACGGCAACAAAGTGTCACGACAAACATCTTCACGTGTCTCTGAAATACGTGATTCAACTGCTCTTCTACGACGTATAAATAATTCTTTACCTAACTTTACACCCAGCTGTTTGGTTTTTATTTTCTTCGTGAAATTGCACAAGTTGTAGAAATGTGTTTACATTTTAATCGGGACAAATATGTAGATTTGGATTTGAGTCGACTATTTAAAATTGATTACTGGGAAAGTTTCGTTATAAATTTGGGATTATGTGGCACGGTTATAGGAGTTTGGTGCGATTAGTTTGGAAAGTAATGGACCGGTATTAATAACGTACCTTTTCATTTTCTATAAAAACATAAAAATTGAAAAATGACACGGCAGAGCATTCACGGAAAGAAGATAAATGATTAAACATTATTTATTATTACACCTCAACGTGTCTCGTCCATGACACCTAAGTAATGTCCGAGAAATAATTCAGCGTCTGCTAGAATTCCACTGTCGGTGAAATGTAGCGTTTCTCGAGGCGTGAATAAATAAAGACGCTCCGTATTAGCCGCAACTTTTCGACATAAGTCTCAATTGAATCCTCAAGAGTGAGCTCATGTGTAATAAGTTGAGCAAAGTAGCTATGTAATACAAGTTTCCGGATCAAATTACATTCTTGCCAGTGTGGCTCACAACCAGAAACGTTGACACGAAGAAGGCCGGTCAAGAACCACTTACACTCGGAAGTGGACCTACTAACTAAGGAGCTCTCCGGGAATTGTGTCGGCCGTTCATTAATAGCTCGTGTATTCCGGACACGAACGGCACAAATGCACAACACAACCGACATAAATATTGAGGCATAAACAACGAAATTATAACTTGCTTTTGGAATGAAGGGGTTTGTCAATTAGGAACATCACTCACAAGCGAGTGTTACAATTATAAGAGAAAAAGAGACATTAATTGTAATCTGCGACGGTCTTAAGCCACACATTCTCCCGAGAGACTTCTTAATTTGGTTTATTGGACGTAATGTTGGCTGCGCCAGCTGGCGAGCCAAAAATGTCGCTTTTACTTTGAAAAGAACTATAATTAAGGCTGTACATATTTTATTACAGTAATATTTTGATTTACAACTATTTTGTTACACTAATTAAACTGCAGAAAAAACAAACTTTTATTTTTTTGGTTTAATGGCAATTTAAATTACGTTTTAAGTAACATTTCTATTAAAAAGTGTCAATTTTACATGTTTTAAATGTAAAAAAAATTAACTCTTTAAAATTATTTGATTTAAAAATGAGTTGTTGATTTACATTACATTTTACATTACAGTTTACCAATATTTAATTGCAATTATTGTAATTATACTTTATTAAAAAAACTAAAAGTAAATAAAACAATTTGAAAAATATTAAAAGCACTTGCTCATCCGAACCTGTTTTTCGTTTAACCATTTTGTAATTTTTTAGTATAAAACTGTGTTAGCACAAATTTGCGTAAATGTAGTTTTAGATCTATATTTAAGCTGTAAATGTTTGTATTGTAATAAAATGTTTTAATAAATACAGTATTGATTTTTAAAGATAGTGAATATGTTTCAGGCAAATATTTTCAAAAGTGTGTTTATTTTAATCAGTATAAGTATAATAAACTTTTGTCGATGATACGAGTACATTGCAGAGTTATTGTGTGTTATCGTTTAACATGAGAAATTACAAAACGCTAAAAAATTTTAAAAAACGTTTGATGTTCTTGTGTTCATCAGTATTAAAAACTTTTTTTTAAGTTTTTAGTTTATGAGCTAATAAATTTTTTTGGATCTTATTTTCCCAGACAGTAAACATCGATAGAATTGTTTAGTTTGTGATTTTAAGTAAGAAATTTTATATTATGTATAAATGTTTTCCGATAAGTTAAAAAAAACGTTGCATTTTTTTCAGTTATAAAAAAATTACACCTTTAGTTTTTACTAGCATCTTGTACACTAAAGTTAAATAAAAACACGAGCTGATTCATTTGTAGGTATGTTTAGCAAGTCAAAAACTAAAAACTGAAAAAAAATATTGCTCTTATTTTAGTAGTTTA